TTGATACATATGTTACTTTTTTCAAGTAGGCCATCTAAGGAGCTCTCCCAGGAGAAGCTGACAGCTTATTTTTCATGAACATATTTGTTTTAACTGAAAAATTGCATTGAAAAATATCTTAATTCACAGCTTTCACTACAGCAGACTGTTCCCCTTCTCTTTACCCAGTTAGTGCAAGGCAGTGAGGCGCTCTCATTTGGGACAAGCCTTCTTTCATTATTTATGTTCCTAAAGATAGCTAATTGTTTCCCAGAATACTGTATCCTTTAGAAGTAGAACTTCTTTAAGAGAGGACTGTGAATCCTTTATGTGGCTGATGTTTTGCTCTCGGCTGCTATACTCGGATGTATGCATTTTTCTCTGGGTTCATTGATTTAATGTCTGTTATAGTTTGCTTTTTCTTGAGGGACCTTTCCTTCATTATTGTGCACACATTGGGCCCTTAGCCTTACCTGTGATTTGTGTTTAATATAATAGTTTACAAGGATGCTTTTATATTGATCAGCAATATTATGTCCACATTCTGTTTAAAAATCTGTAATGGTTTTTCTCCGCCTAGGAAAAGTCCAAGCTTCTTAACCTGGCACATAAAGCCACCGTATCTCCTCGCCTACCTTTCTGACCTTTTCTTCCACATCATACTTCATTGACTTCGTGACTGCTTTCCTTCCTTGGAGTTTACCATACAGTTTTGAATGTCCTTGCTTTTTCCTTTGTTCTTGCTCTTCCCTTCACCTGGAACATTCCCATCTTCTTTGCTGGAAGGACCCCAAACTGGATTAAAGCTCTTCATAGCTTCCTGAGCATGCTCTGAGTGTATTCACTTTATATTGAAATTTCCTCCCTAAATTTCTATCATTTCAGATTGTAGGCTTCGAGAGGTGGTACTCATCATCTTTGTGTCCTTAGTAGTTAAAGGCTACCCTGTTATATGATGTATGCTCAATAAATATTCAGTGGCCTGAATTGAACTGCAGCCAAATGGTAGCAATATATTTAAATATGAGAAGTAAAATTTTTGTGGAATTTGTATAGACTAATATTAACCACTACAGTGTCAGATTTGTGAAAAAGAATGTTTAAACATGAAGTAAGCAGCTATATGATGATCTTCTTTTCTTCAAAGTTGAATTTGATTTAGCCTACATAAAACCAAACAATTATAGGTTAACAAAACAAAATTATTGATGTAGCATTTTTGATCAGTTAAGCCATTTGGATAATACACACCTGGCATAGTCTACTCTATTCTCTCTCTAAAATAAATGTGAAATATTGTCTATGTCATCATGAGTACCTTGTTTAGAATTTTGTTGCTCATAGAATGTTTTCTAGTCTATTTATTTTTCTTCATTAGCATATTCTCTTAAGCAAAAGATTAGCGCCTCCTAGGGGTAAAATGAAGGTGCAATGCTGTACACATATCTTTAAAAAGCACTGCAAAATTCTGCGAGAATCGTGTGAAATACAGAAAATGCTGTTTCACCCTTGTTATATAATTCAAGTTATATAATTTAATCCCAGTGTATCTCATAGCGCTTTTACTTTGCTTGTCACTTCCTCTAGCACTATTTATTCAGACAGTTTTTTGTTCCACAGGGAGAAAATATCCAAGAAAAGAAAAGAAGGAATGTTTTATTAAAAATTGAAAATGGGAGGTTAAGACTATTGACAGTTAGTGCAGTCGTTTGGGAAGGATGGTGACCAGGCCAAATGGCTATGACTCAGACTTGGAATAAAATAAAAGCTTTTTTATGTAGGCTTAGCTATTTACTTTCCCTTCTTTTCTTTCCCTTGAATTGCTCACTTGATCAGATACTATTCTAGAATCCCATTTTTTCCCCTCAGTTCATTCACTACCACCTCTCCCCCATAACGTTGATTTTAAATTTTTGAATAACATTCTCTTTTATTCTGTTCGTGCTGAGGAGACTGAGCCAATATTATAAAGCACTAGTGCAGGATCAGGTATCTTGTAAAAACTGATGGTGTGTATATTTTTGTTTATTGTTGTTAATGGTGACATTTGCTTTTCAAAGAATGATAGAGATGATAATGTATTTGTAGAACATTTGCCATATACATTATTTCTGTGGACCCTGAGACAGGAAAAGCAGGCAGTATTATGTGATAGTCAATGCCTAAGGATTTTTTCAGGCATTATAGGAGTTAAATTAGTCTACTGAATTTTATTCTAAAGTTCTTAAGATATTTAGCCACAAGTCTCAACAGTAGCTTTTCATTTTACATATTGTCTAAGTTGATAGGTCATTGATTTTTTTTTTAAATGATAATTTTGTTTTCAGATCATAGAATTTTTATTCTCTAGATTGGATTAGAAGGCTTCTCTTTTCAAACTTTTATTTTGCGGATATGAAAACTGAGGCCTAGAGAGTTTAGGTGGTTGGTTCAAGTTCATGAGGCTGGGGCAGAAGCAGGACTGAAATGCAGGTCTCCTAATTCTTTTCCCCTTATCACAGATTTTTTTTTTCCTAATTTGGTTTTGCGTGGCATAATATTATTTTTCTCCTCTAAACATGCCTAATTTAATTTTTTCTTTATTGTCACATAAATATGATGGTGACAGCTGGTTTTGGAAAATTTCCCTGACGTAGAGGATTTGGTTCAATCTGGCAAGACAAGTTGTGAAATCGCCTTCCTATGAAATAAGTGTTCAGAATCACACCCCATCTTTAACTGTTCTGCAGTGAGAAAGACATAGGAAGTGGAGTATGGAGTGAAATGTGAGTTTGGCAGGGTGAGGGCATAGTGGACCAGAGAGCATAGAGTTCCCAGCACTGTGTGTTAGTCACTGTCCTGGGAGGCCCCATTCTGATCATGTGCTTGGATTCCACTGCCCTTCTGTGTGCTGAGGATGTCAGACCCGCACAATAAAGTCATTTATTTTGAGAGATTAAGCAGCAGGCTGAGGATCACGAGCTGTATAATATTGTTTATATAAACATGAGGTCTTAGTGTTCTTGTTCAGGCTCTTTTAGAGTTAGGCTGCTTTCTGGTTACACTGGAAATACACTAAGAAGCACCTATAGATTTAGATGCATTAATGTGTGTGACATTCACAAGCTGAGCTTTTCTGCCTTGTTTTTAAGTCAATCTTTGCCTTATGAATTCAAGCTTGTGCCTTGGGGATGGGATTGGGTAAATTCTTATAGTGTTCTAATAGGTGAGTAGAAAATTATAGTGTTAGTACTCATTTCACTAAGTGCTTATCTGCATGTGTATTATGTCATACATGTAAGTACATATGTTCCTGAAAAGATCCATGAAAATTGGTTTATCTCTGAAATATAATTGAGAACTTGAGAGGATTGTCATTTCATCCTATCCCAAGGTAAATACTCTAATGGAATGGGTAATTCCTTTGTAGCCTATTTGGATATTTGTACATTTTCTAATCAAGGATTGCCTAAAATGTGTTATAATTTTTTTTTAAAAGAAATGAAATATTTTTGAACTTTTTCCTACTGTGGTAAAATCTTGTGACACCAGAAATTCAATTGATAATCCTTGGGAATGAGGAAATCAAAGTATCAGTTTGTGAAGCTGGAGATTTGGTTTAAAGTATAATAATTTGACTTCCTTTCAGTTTTGCTGGCCATTTTATAGGTACTATTGACGTTAACAGTTACTTTGTGGTAGAGCTATTGAGCCTAAGTTTAATACTTATGTGTGGCTAATGATGCCTAGATCAACAATTGAATATTAGAAGTTTTTGTAGTTGACTTAGGAAAAAAGTCCCAGAACACTGGATGTAGAAGTTGACTGTAGAAGTCATAAAGTTTAATGACGTTTAAACTGCTTTTTGGGAATTAGAGACTTACCATGTAAGATTTCCTTCTAGTTTATTTACATTAGGCCTTTTCTTGATTGTTGTTGTATAGTCAGATAGTTTTGATCATCCTTTAAATTTTTTTATTACTTTATGCTCTATATTCACTCGACATTTTAGAAGTACAAAGAAGTTTGATTCATACATATAAGACCTTCAGAGTTTAATCCAAAGACTGGCAAGCATATAGGGATTGTGCTGTGGGTTAAGTATGTGGGATTCTGTTTCCTGCCTCTTTCTGGACCACTTCTTTAGCTCCTTTCATTGAAGCAGCCCAGAATCCTACAAGGTGAGAAAATGGAAATGGGTTAGCCCACTGTGGAGCAGCCATCTTAATAGCCTGCTTTGACATTTGTCTGTCAAGCACAAACTTTGGAGTGGGCCAACTAGTTACAGGAGCTATCCCTACTTGGCAGACTGAACAAAGTTTTTAAGAAATCATTGGTGGTTTGAGTCCTAAAATCACAGGCTTAAAGCAGGCCTTTGGGATGGGGGAAGCTATTACAGGTTGAGTGTTAATTTTGTGCTAGTGTTATTTAGTTTTGAAAACCCTCCACCACAAGAAGATTTATGTTGTGCAGAGGAGGGTTTGGACAGAGGCCTTCTAACCTGACATATATTAAAACTTTTTTTTTGGAAAATAATTGTAGGCTCACAGGAAATGGCAAAAAATAGTACATAGAGTCTCAAGTATCCCTTTACCCAGCTTACATCTATGGATTTTTAAAATGTGGAGTGTGCCTCTGTGCATACTTGATCCTGGTGGGCTAAAGAGTAGGTAGACCATCTAGGGGGTAAAAACCTTAACCTCTTGTTAGAGTATCTCTGGTTGCTATAGCAGTAATGATGAATAAAATCAGGACATGGCTTGTATTTAAAAAATCGTAACCCCATATAGTACTATAAACTTCTAGTGTGTTAAAATTGTAATAGTTCTAATTGTCTTTTTGAATTATTACTCTGAAATTCACTGTTTTAGTTTTTAAGTTTAAATTTATTTTTTAAGTAATACGAGAGTAAAACATAAAAAAAGAGCTGCGTGTCTGAATACCATTTGAGGCATGTTTTCTACTTTGCCCCCTTTTGTGTTTAAGAATGTTAAGGATGATTCTGAGTTCTACAACCAAAAGTTTTGCTTTTCTTTACGTAGGTTCGAAAACATGTGAATGATCTCTATGAAGACTTAAGGGATGGACACAATTTAATTTCTCTTTTAGAGGTTCTTTCGGGAGATACCTTGGTAAGTTTTAAATTTCTTAATTTATTTTGAAGAACACACAATCTTTTCTGCATATGACCAGTGTGTTTTCAACACAGATTGTTCAGATTTTTGCAACATTCATCTTTTGTGCTGTGAATTCTGCCTGAGAAAAAGTTCTGGTTAGATTCCTAAACATTTCAGATTTCAAATGATATGAATTTGAGAGATTGAAGCACTTTGATTACTTCACTTAAATAATCAGTTCTATAATTAAAATACTATTTTTGTTCTTGCTTCTTTTTTATCTTTGGTGGTTTTTTTTTTGTTGTTTTTTTTTTTTTTTGCTTAGCAGAAGTTGGATGCATAATTTAACCAACCACATATTAAAAGACTCACAAATAGCAAGGAAATAAATGTCGCTTTCTGAAAAATGGTCTAACCCATTCCTCAGGTGTCATTTCCTTTTTTTGTGAACATTACCTCCCCTTCTCGGTTACCTGTGCTCCTTCATTATGTTCTGTTCATGCTCTTCTTTTCATTTCTGGTCTGTCTTGTGTCTTTGCTGTCCTATCTTCTGTCTGTTATATTCATTAGCCAAGGGAGCGAGATTTTTTGAAGACCTTACGATTGGTGAGTGCAACAGAAGCATGCGAATATGAACAGCATGAGGATGTGGAGGATGAGGATAAGGGGGTAGGTGTCGCCCCCGTAACTCGACTAACCTAGCCGTTCCAGTGTGGTGAGCGCTAACCTGACAAGAGAAGTAACTCCCAGGTTCAGGCTCCTTTTGAGAAAAGTACAGAAAGGACCAAAACCCACAGTGAGGCAGATATGTGTGTACTAAAAAATTGGACAAAGGAAATAATTTTCTCTTTAAATTTATCTTCAGAGAGCAAAAACAATTGAATCATTTATACATTACTGTGCACTGCATGGTAATTAAACATACTTTCGTAAATTTTATGGATGGCATTTTAGCTAAATGATTTATATATGTTGTATGTAAACAGGGAAAATCTTACAACTATTCTGCTAATTTTTGTGTGAATTTGTTCCACTTCTGGAATTGATATTTTAAACATGACAACTATTTATTGCCCCCTTTTTTTTTTTGAAGGACTTATGGAAATTTTATTTAATATTTAAGTTTCTGCTTTAAATCATACCTATTGGCAATAAGTATTTGATGGACGTTTTTTTTTTTCCCCTATTTGATACGTCTCATGGTATTTAGAAGGGAGAAAGATTTAAAATCTAGTGTCCTGATAAAACTCACAGAGCTATTTAATCTCCGTGACACTTAGTTGACTGCAGCCCACCTTTGCAAGGCAGATGTCCTTATTTTGTCTTCTATATGCCTAGTGTCCCCGATTTCATTGAAAATTGTGCTTTTGTTGGATCCGGTGGGTGAATTTATCAACATGGTTTCTATTTGTTATAGAAAACTTACTTTCCCTCCTGTGGTGTGCTGTCTGTTTTATTATGGCGCTTGGGCTTCAGCAACCTATTCATATTTAAGAAGCTAAGCTGTCCATTTTCTTTTTTCTTTTTTCCCTTTGGAAGATGTTATGAGATAAATTTCAACTCCATTCCTTGTATTTTTGTTAAACATTTCTCAGCCCTGTTTCCTTTTGTTTTCCTTCTGCTAACTTAGGACGACGTTTCTTAAGGGAAACGGCGTTAAGGAAAGTGATTCTAATTTGTCACTTTTCCTGTCACTGAGGATGCCCATCCCTAAGTAGTGTAAAACTAGTAGAGAGTCCTTTCTGATTATTGTAGAGTCCAATTTTGTGAATTAAGAGGAACATATACTAAATGGTTTTAATTGCGTTTCTCTCTTCCTATATCATGGCTAAGTAAATCTTCTCTTTCTCCTTCTTGGTGATTTTTATACTAACTGCATGCTACTTTACCTCATTTTCATTAACATGCCATATATAATTATAAAAAACCTTCTTGCTAATAGTTAGTGTTTATTAAGAATGGGGAATGATATTTAATTATTTTTGTGCCTCCATAGCTAAACAACTGTAGGCCAGAATTGTTCTATTAGCACATACAAAAAATCTGTATGTTCTATGACATTTTCTTTTTGCTTTTGTTTAAATAAAACATTTAGAATAAAGTATTAATATATATTTAAATAAAAACATGTTTGGAAAAAATCCCTAGTAATTTAAATTCAATCCCAGGTAACTCAAAGAAATTAAAAACTTTTTAAAGAATTTTATGGTCTTACCTACATAGTAAATACTGTTTTGATATATTAATATGATCAGAAAGTATATTTAAATTAGCATGGTCAGTGCTATCAGAAACTATCATATTTTTTATACCTGCATTTTTCTGTTCTTAGCCCAGAGAGAAAGGTCGGATGCGTTTTCACAGACTACAGAATGTACAAATTGCACTTGACTATTTGAAAAGACGCCAGGTATGATGTTTTTGAAAGACTGCAATCCTATAAACATATGTGATTAAGTATATCTACATAGAAACATGTCAGGAATGACAAAGTTAAATTTGGCTGTGAATTATAATCATTAAGATTGTGTTTTGGTGAGGCAAATATTTAAAAATGTTTTTAAACATTTGCTTCCAAGAAAAGGAAGTTAATAGTAGGTGTAAGCCCAGAGGAATTATAAGTGGCTACATTTCCATCTGTAACTCTGTATGAGAGCTACTGATTTTCCTTCTGTTTGAGTTGGAATGCATTCGCCTAGGAATTTAGTGACATTTTAGTAGCAACAGAATGTTAAGAATGCCCATGAACGGTTCTTAGTTGTGGGGAAGCAATGCTTTATTTTTTATACTTAGTATATAAAATACTTTATTTTTATAAAAATATTTTATATAATATTTTTAACTTAGTGTAAGCATTTTTAGTACTTAGTAGTGATAAAACAGTATTTTATTTTTTATAACTAGATAATTATTGGATAACTTATGTGTGTTTTATTTTTTAGTAAAAAATAAAACATTTTTGACAATAGTCCCCAGTTAGCTTGAAGTTTCAGGAGAAATCATGGAAAAGAATTAGCACTATATTGGATATGATCTTGATCTGGTGGCATTGTGTATTATGGCGGCATAAGTCAAAATATTAGTAATTTTTCAATTAGTAGAAAAAAGAAGGGAAAGAAATGCAGAAGAGTTGAACATTATCGAAAACAGTGAGAAAGCAAAGGTGGCAACAGTTTTGCTTTTTAATGGAGTATGAAAAAAGAAAGAAAGGAAAGGAGAGAAGGAAACACTAGCTTTTATTATCCCTTCATTTACTTTATTATAAATATTAAAATGCTTTTAGTTATTAAATACTAGTAAATTCTCAGTGATTAAATATTTTAAATATTATTGGCATTTGCCTCATTATTCTTCTTTCTAGTGAAAGTTTCCAGAAGGATTAATGATTAATTATGCCTCCTTGTCCGAAATGGTTTTTGTCAGTGTTTTGTCCAGGAAGTAAAATGTTAAATATGGTATATAATTCTCAGTAAATTCATGATATTAAACTCTTTTGTCCAGGACATAAATGTTAGAGATCATCATTACATTTATTTACCTGAATGCACAGTTTGACAGTTGATCAGCTTTAAGTCTGAGTATTATATTTTTAAAAAATGTTTGAACAGCTTTTCAAATGCCCAGTGACTTATTTATTTATGGTAAATTGATGGAAAAATAATGCTAGTTTTTTTTTAAAAAAAAACTTTGTGATGGATCTCTGAGAAAATCTTTAAAATTATTTTATGGTTCAGACAGTTTCCTACTTAATATAAGAGTAAAATAAATCTTATTTTTAAAAGACAAAATTATTTCTAATTTTATAATAAGACGTCAAATATTTAGGACTTCTCACTTGAGTTGTTTTTGTTTTTACAAGTGAATGCTTTTAGTACTTACTCTAGAAGAAAAAACTACAATAATACCTGTTTTTCCTTTGTGGCTATCCTGCAATTCATAATTTAAAATGACTGAAGATAAGGGTAAAACAATATTTGGGGGATTACTAATATTTACGTCATTTCATTTTTTTCTTTGTTTGATTTAGAATTGCCTTTGTGTAGGTAAAGATAACTCATATGCTGATTTGATAAACTGTTTTATCTCTTCTTGACATATAAAACAGGTGAAATTAGTGAACATTAGAAATGATGACATAACAGATGGAAATCCCAAATTGACCTTGGGATTAATATGGACAATAATTTTGCACTTTCAGGTAAGCCCAATATTTCTTAATTATCACTTGTTTTGGCCTCTCATTGCTAGTTTTCAGGTGGTTCATATGAAGGGCAAGTTATGCATTCGTGTCTTATGGGAAAAAAAAATTTCCGACTTCTTTTCTTAAACAATATATTTGAATTGTTCTTTCAAGTAACATGCTGCTTGTAAATCCCTCCTTTCTTGTTCTTGCTGAATTTAAGTGAGTTTTAAGGACAGTGTTTGTAATCTCAGAATTGGAAGACAGAGATTTCTTTTTATTGAATGCAGACACATTTCTTTTGCTTATCGGACAGTATTACCTGTTACAGATATGTAAAGATTTTATGACTCAATCTTTATTTAGAATAGTTTTTATTGATACAGTTTCTCAACTATGTCAACTGTTTTCTCCTTCGATAGACACTAGATGGCAGTATAATTATCATAAAGAGATCTGAATTAGAAGAAAAGTATCCATGTTTTGTGTAGAGCTGTGCTTTCTCACTCTAGATTTGAGGAAAGTACAAATTTATTGACTACGAATTATTATCTAATAAACCTGTGTGGATAGAGGACTGACATTGATTTAGTTTTTGTGAAATGATACATTTAAAAAAATCATCCTCATTTGATTTAAGGTGACTCCTAACTTTGGAACTTGCTTTAGTTTATTAATTGCTGATCTGCTTAAGAAATGTCCTGTGCAGCACAGAACCTGACCTGGAGTAGGCATGGAGTAGGCACCCAGCTCCTACTGAATGATTACTGTGCACTTGGCCCTTGAAGCAGGAGATAGCTTGCCAGAAAGCTATCTTTCAGAAAGGAGCTGGGATTTGAACCAAATCTTATGAGGAATAAGACTTTGTGTGTTCTAAATTTGAGTGAAATATAAGTTTTGTAGGGGAAAGTGGAAAATAATGTACCTGGGACTCATTTGGGACCAGGATAGATCTGACAGGTACAGGGAACTACAGGAAGTAGAGTGTAGGTAGGTTCTAGGGCCTGAAGAGGCAGCTGAACAGTTTCAGCAGTAGGAAAGTGGAGGAGAGACAGGCAAGCAGAGGAAAGGTGTTAGCTAGCCAGACTGCAGGGCAGCTAATATAGGTGAATGTCCACTCAGCTGGGCTGTTGATGTCAGGGAGAGCCAGTAACTGGAAGCCAGGACCCCAAAGGACTGAGGGTCCCTATTACTGGAGAAATCCATCCTTAGGGGATCAAGGATACTGAACACTAAACCAAGGCAAGGATTTGTGCATGGAGCATAGAGCCAGACCTTGTTATCAGAATTGGGTAAAGTCTAAGTAGAACCGGCCAAAAATCTGATATCCTTTTTTCAAGGATCCTTTAATTATCCTAAGTGGATTAGGTCCCAGAGCTTTTAGTAGGGTTGAAACTGCAGGAACCCCCAATGGGAAAATCAGAGGCCCATCAGAGCAGGGCACCAATCACTTCATCAGCACAGGGCTGGTGGGGCAGTCTATGTCTGAATTTGGAATGTCAGACTAAGGACCACTGTGGGGCAGTGGAAAGCACCCAGGCTTTGGAGAGAGACAGAACTAAGTTTTAGTCTTGGCTCTTTTATTTATTACTGTGATGGCATTGGGTAAGTCACTTTACCACTCTGAGCTTGAAAAATTGTGTTTTAGGAAACAGAATCTATCAATCTAGTAAAATAGTAGAAATGAGCAGAGTGCAGAGTCAGAGAGATAAGCTAAGAAGCTGAGGTGGTGATCTCAGAGTGGAGTGATAAAGGGCAGGACTCAGTTGGGGATGAAAAAATCAAATACAAGAGTTGACATTTTGAAGGAAGAAAGAAAGGGACTTAGAGGTAGGGCATAGAGGATGAAGGAGTTGTATTAGTTATAGATAACCAAACTTTTTAGCCTGGGAGATCAAAAAAACAGTAGACCCTTGGAAGACATGGGGATGGTGGTAAGGGGGAAACTCATGGCTGGATGGGTTTGATGTGATGGTGGGATACCCTGCACATCTGTCTGCTGAGCAGCTGGAGACAGTCAGAGGTACAGATAATAGAGTTGGGCGTCAGCACTATACAGGTGGTCACTGATTCTATCAGAAAGAAGGGATCTTCAGAGGATCCAGAAGAGCACAAGTGGAGAAGAGCCAAGAGCTAAGGATAGAAATTTGGGGAAGGCCTATGATGATGGGTACAGGAGGAGATTTTGTTGAGAAAATAGAAAAAGAACGTTTGGAAAGATGGATGACATAGCAGGAGAATGCATTGACGAAACCAAGGGAAGAGAATTTCAAGTAGAAAGGAATGGTGAGCAGCATGAAATGCCACTAGAGATCATGAGAAATTTAAGACAGAGTGCAGGTTAATGTTCTGTCTAGAAGGAAGACCTTGGAGACCCAAGCTACTGGGAGCAGAGACTAGAAAATAGACTGAAATGTGCGACCTAGAAAATAAAAGACTGAAATGTGTAAGTGTAGAGAGTCAGGAATTAGAAGCAATGTATTTAGAAATGTATTTCCTATATTTGAGGAATTTTTTTTTTTTTTTAAGAGGTGGGGTCTTGCTCTGTCTTGCTCTGTCACCCAGGCTGGAGTGTAGTAGCTCACTACAGCCTTAAACTCCTGGCTCAGGCCATCCTCTTGCCTCAGTGTCTGGAGTAGCTGGGACTACAGGTGTGTGCCACCACACCTGGCTAATTGTTTTATCTTTTGTAGTGATGAGGTCTCACTGTGTTGCCCAGGCTGGTCTCGAACTCCTGGCCTCAAACGATCCTCCCGCCTCAGCCTCCCGAAGTGCTGGGATTATAGGTGTGAGCTACCATACCGGGCTTTGTTAGAAGAAATTAAGGCAAAAGTTTATTCGAAAAAGAATCTTGTAGTATGAAAGCCCTTTGGGGTTCAGCTGTCTTTGGAGGAGAGAGGAGAACTAACTAGTCACAGAAGTACCAAAAGAAGTTTTTCTTCCAGTATGATCCTGTGGCATAATGTTATAGAATCCATTGTATTTTCAGAGTTGAGTTACAAGATGCTATGATTGCTAAATTATCACCAAAGTTAAAACTAGACTGAGATCTCTTTAAAATGGAACACATCTATGTTTTGGTAAAATGGAAATGTTTCTTTTTATTTAAATGCAATAACTTTTCTTAGTACTATGATATTTTAATATTAGAACTATTTTCTGATTACTCCAAGATAGAAGGATATTTATAACAGAGGATATCATTCTCACATAGTGTCTGAAGTTTTTTTCCCTATATTTTACATAAATAATGAAGACAATTGAGAAGACCAATTTATTTTATTTAAAAATATTTGTTATAAGCATTATAAATTGAATCTGTTTTCAGTTAGGCCTTCTGAAAGTAGGCATTCCCATGACAGTAATCCTGTATCATTAGTTCCATCATATACTAGATCCAGAGATACTAAGGTAATAAATATGTTTTCTATTTACTGGAGGAATTTACATGAAATTAGCTATAATCTAGGGCAATGAATATTGGTGATATAAATAAAAATAGAAATGTACGGGGAGGGAGGCTTGTGTAGGATTGGGAAGGCATTAGAGAATAAGGGAGATTTTTACAGATACTAGAGATAGGCTTGGGGCAAGATGAGAGCCAGCTACCAGGCAGAGACTGAAGTTGAGCCGTTTCTGGGACAGGGAGCAGTGCGTATGGCCTGAAATTGGATAGCTGCTTAGCGTGGCAGGGCTAGAGGGAAGAGGGTGGAATGCAAATCACTGGTTGCCCCTCCATCATGTCAGCACAAATATTAGCCGTTATACTTTTAAGTTCTCTTGAATACTGTTCCATTGCCTTTGAAGACATTGAAAATCAAATTTCCCAGTACAAAGGAATGATAAATGTGTGAGATGATGGATATGCTAATTATCCTGATCTGATCACTGTACATCATATATATCAAAATATTACTGGTACCACATGAATACGTACAATTAGTATTTGTCAATTAAAAAAAAGCAAATAGAAGACCTTATTTTTTACCATCTTGTTTTCTAGGATATTCAGTTTTTGCCACTGGAGAATATTTAATTTTCTTTTTGAATGATTAAGATAAACCTTACAATGCAGGGTCTGTCGCTGACAAACATCTGCAACATCATTCTAACTTGACTATTTTTACCTAGCAAAATATGATGAGTTTCATCTTTTGATCAGTACAAAGACTACCTGGAGAAAGACAATTATTAATTTTTTTTAGTAGTCAAATGATTTCTGCTTATGTATAAGTCCATTTAATACCATACTAATTTCCTTTTTATCATATGTATGACTCAGTGTTAGAAAAATGCACACCTTAGATAATCAGGTTTCATGCTGACTTATTATTTTTCCATAGGGCCCTAGTATAACTGCATAATATTTAACTAGGGTACAATTATAAAAGTTACATATAAAGTTTAACTACCTTAATTCATGTATAAGAATGCACGGGTATTTCCTTTGGCTAAGTGTTTCATCATACAATTTATCTATTTGCTCATATGAAAGTCCTCATGATTGGATAATGGCAATGACTTGGAAATTTATGTAATTTAAAAAATATTACAAACTATTTTAAAAGGTTAATTTTAGAAACAATTTTCTTAGATTGAGGATCGAACATTTATTATCTCTCCATTGGCTAGTTATTGAATCATACTGTTATTTTTTAAGAGTCTTAATGTAATGTACAGAGATTTTTGAGCTTTTTGTTTGTTTGTTTGTGTGCAAGTACCAAAATTAGTTGATGTTTCTTAAGGAAAAAAATTATTTGGTAGAGGGTAGAGACTCTCTGAAAGTAAATTTGAAAGGCACCTTGAAACTAAATTTGAAAGGCACTTTCCTAAGTCTCACCTGACTGGCATTTGCTCTCTATTTGCTCTGATTTATTGAACCACCAAGTTTCAAAGGTTAAGTGCAAACTTTGGTAGTGTGTCTGCATTTCAGAAAACTGAAAGTTAAAGTGAGAGTCATAATCTCCTCATACAGTACAGCTAAGGGTTTGCCTTGAAAGCTCATCAGTGTTGTAATT